TGGTAGTAGTAGCAGTTGTAGTAGTAGTCGTCGTCGTAGTAGTAGTCGTAGTAGTAATGGTAGTGATAGTGGTGGTAGTAGTAGTAGTAGTAGTAGTAATAGTAGCAGCAGTAGTAGCAGTAGTAGTAGTAGTAGTAGCAGTAATTAGTAGTAGTAGTACTACTTGTCCTCGTAACTGGTACTTGTAGCACCGGTGCCAGTACCAGTACCAGTGCCCAGTACCAGAACCAGTACTGGTGCTAGCACGGGGCAGGATTCCGGTACTGGTAGTAGTGCTGCTACTGCTGCTGCTGCTGCTGTTGCTGCTGCTGCTACCAGCTAGCACTGGTACAAGTACTAGTAGCTAGTACCGACATTAGTTACTAGTGTACCAGCCGGGCGTGGCCGGAAATTGGTCGCGGGGGTCGTAGCAAAGGCTCAAGACTAGCATAAATTCTTCCAGGGCCTCCCGCTCGGAATGGAGACTTACACTCTCTCCGTCTGTGCCGGTATCTACAGCGCCACGTTGCAGACCGAGGTGCTGAACACCTGGAGGACCGGGTAAGAAACTTTGTCCGGCGGTCCTCGATTCAGCACCTGCGCGACCAAGATGAATTTCAGACCGTCCCCCCGCTGATCAAAGCCCTTCTTCACAAGACCCGATGCGAGCTCCAATCTTCCAACCTTCTTGTGAACCGTGAAGGCAAGCTTCGGCAGATAGTCTTTGTCCGCCTCACGCGCATCCGGGGCACGATTTCTCGGAGAGGCTGCGATCCAAACTGCTTGCAAATTTGCCTTGAGAATGCAGCCACTGCCTGCTGCACACCTCCCGACAGTCACTTCAATCCCAATATCCGAAAGTCACCACCTCAAGGTGTTGCTTCAGGCCACGCAGTTTCGCCTGTCAAGGGCTTGCATGTCTCATTGAGGAATGGTCAAAACTCAAGACTGTTGCCTCCTATGCGTGACGTCATGACTGACGAATCAATGATACACACTGCCGCAGAATCCTTCGTGAGATACCCAAGACAGGATGCCGCAGACGAAACAGCCACGATCCGGCACCCAGGCACCCATGACAAACAAGATAACACCACGATGACATGGAACGCGACGCGCCTCAGCCTGTAGCTTTCGGCTTGCCGATTGGGACTGTCCAGTATGCCAAACCCCGAACCCACACATCCAACCAGGACCCACATGCAGCGGCGGTGGGGTGGTTGGTGGCGCTTCGTAAACCTGACCCCTTCATTAAGTGATGGCGGTTCGCGACATTGTTTCAGGCAACGGCGCTTGACTAGTATTTTTGAGCCTGCTTCGACATCAGGCGATGGCGGTGGATCACACCATTTCGTAAATCAGCCCCCTCAACAGGCTGTGGTGATTGGTTGCACTGTTTGGCGATCGCCGTTCTGAAACCCAACCCTCACTAGACCATGGCGGGAGGTCCCTGATCACATTGCTCAAGAAACAGTCATTCATGCATCAGCTTACAAAATCGGATTGAGCTCAGCGAAATGTCGGACAATTGTCGGACTGTCTGGACAGCACTAAGAGCTGACCAGCGATTTCTGCATCTGGCTGTCTTCAAGCCGTAGCCAAGGAGGGGAAACGAATGCGCGAAAACAGTCGACAACGCTGCAAGATTTAGCTGCATGCGGCTGTGTTTGTATATTCAACACACGTGCACAGAACAGAGAAGGAATAAAAAGACTCGC